AATTAGGATTATTAATTTTTGCACTATTTTCTTTATTGAGTGGTATGCGAAAGTTTTGAAAAAATAGAAGAGAAAACGTTTCAACTCTCCATCTCAATCGTGGGGGTAGTTACCGAGAAAATTCCAATTACCAATTTTTTCACTATTTCCTCCATTCAATGGTGTACGGAAATTTTAAAAAAAAATCGAAGGAAAATAGGATAAAAACAAATAACTCGAATTGTTTCTATTACTACCCTCCTGATCAAGATAGAGGGTTGAAGCTTGGTGCAAAGTGTTTTCTTTCGGTAAGCTCTCGAATGGTCCATCGCGAGACCAATTTTGTTTAAGGATACCTTTCACCCCCTTATCTCGCTGTACTCTTTCATTAGGAAGGCAGGGGACTTTTGTTAAAATTGATCCAATCGAGCAACGCGGTCACCCTTCTTATCAACATCGACCGATAGAACGCCTTCCTCTATTCGTGGAAACGAGTTTCCATCCCCCTTTGTATCACCTTGACCCTCTTCCTTAAAAAACGATGTACAACTCTTGTATTTTTATATGGAATTCCCAAATTTCTTATCCCTCGTTTAAATTGCTAATCGCCGCGATTATCCCGGCTGATTAGAATTTTTATCACGGCGCAACATCGATCAGATTGGAAAAGACAGATTTCTTCGGTGGACCCGTGTTTACGATCGAAAATTTTCAACGAAATTTCAGCATCGTGAATAATCGCTTTGCTCGATTTATGGATCTGCTACCTCTGCAAAAATTGGGTACCATAAAAGAGAGTTTATCTCGATTCTAAAATTTTATCTTCTTCTCAGTTGCTGTTTCCCAATTTATAAAATCTGTTTTTATAAAAACAATTTATTTTTGAAGGTGAAAACGTGAAGAATGTGTTTTTCGCGAAATTTCCCAAGATTGTCAAGGATTTTGCGAAATTTTTCGCAAAACTCTAACCTGTGTAATCTTCATTTCTAATTTTTTCTAATCTCTAAAAAACGAATCTTCATTTCTATTTTTTTCCAATCTCTAAAAACACTAATCTTCATTCACACTTCGCAATTTTACAATTTTCGCAAGTGCAAAATTTTCCTCGCCGACGAATAGCCGAAACGTCGATTGCAGTTTCGGATTTTAAAAGAATACACTTGAAAACGGCGTAGAAAGTATGCAGTTGATCGACGCTGAAAAGGGATTACGTTCGCTCAGTTTCTCGTACGAAGTTTCAATCTGAAAATAACTTTTTGCCATTCGAGTAATCTCTCGGTTCTTATGAGCACGCATATGGTGAACCGTTGCTGGCACGTTAATAACCAAGAGGAACTCACGACGTGCGTAGGCCAGAGCCACACGTTCCTCTGTCTATCCTTTGTTTTTCGACGGCATTTGGTCCCGTTAGCATCTTTGTATGCCATATGGAAATCTCACGCGAGCCTTCAACAGAGCTCATCGTTATGCATTTTCTCTACACACGCAGAACAATGGGGCATCGAGGAATGTGCGCTCTCCATCGAAACCTCGGTTTTATTTCTCGTATTTCACTCTTTAGTTTATTGATACTGCCGTTTCCTTTCGATCAACTTATTTATCACTGTAACGTTAGTTTATTGGTAATATGAATATTTCGTACATTTGCCACGTTTTATAAACACCGCGAGAAATATACTTTCGCGAAAGATTCCAATGGTGTTTCCGTGGAATTCTAAAATTAACGAGTGCCACAGAAATATTTCACTTCTCTCCGAATTTTAAGTCCCTTGGAAATTTCAAAATTTTTTAAATGAAATTTTTTTAAATTTTAACAGACATAAAGGGTTAGTGATAATAGTTAAATCGTGGGTTTAATAGAATTCTGAATTGATATTTTTTTTTCAGGATTATTTGCACGCTTGCAAAATGATAAAACGGCGCGTTGAGATCATTTTTCGAAATATAACGGGGTATTAGCTATGCTGATAGCTATAGTTTAATATGCGACCATATTCACGTGTCATATCGATCGTGCGAAAACGATTGTATAACTGAAATTTCAGTTGAATGAAAATTAAAAATAGTGGTCAGTTTCGAAGTCTCTGTTAACTGGTTCGATAGTCAGTAGCTGTTCAGAAATGTTCGTATGTTGCATCGAGGAATTAAAATTAGAGGTCTGTACTCTACTTGTTATAAATTCGAAAATTCTATAAAATGTAAGTTTTCTGCGAGGAACGTAGTCTTTAATCTGAAATAATTTAACCAATATTGTGATTAAATTTCTTAGTACTTTGTACATTTATCCAAACCTCTTTTCTGTTTATCTATTTTACTAGCCTTTTTGATCAATTTTTTCTAGACTAGAATTGGAATTTTGTAATATTCTAGCAAAAAAAGATTTAGAAAATGTGATTCGTAACCTAATCAGTAGAAAAATTGATAAGTCGTGCTTTGAAAGAAAGAAACCTTGCCTCGAGTTCTGCAAATTCGCGATAGAATTCAGGACAGTACATAGCAGAAAGAAGCTGTTTTCGCAGCTGTATTGCAATGAAGAACAGATCTTGATTACTCGAGACGAGCTACAGGGTAAAACGTAAACGAGACACTAAATCTGGACATCCTGTAAGGATAGACTTCCATTCCCCGAACCTGCCGGTCGTAATTTACAAACAGAAATATTGCAAACGTTTCTATAAATTTACTCGTCTCTAATTAGTCTGCGGGTGCACTGAACGCGTTTATTATTTATCTCTTCGTATCGTTTACGTTAAAAAATATGAGACACCTGGTGTATTTTTTGACCTAGGCAGTATCATAGTTGTTAATAAGAAAATAACTCGGAAAACTTTGGGAAATTTCTTGTGAAATATGCTGCATAAACATTAATTGAGTTTTTTATTTTTTATACAAAATTTTTACAGAATTTTTCTTTTTTTCTAAAGAGTGTCAAAATTTGGCAATATGGATGATTAGGTTAACCCTTTGAGTGCTCGCTAAAATGTGGTTCAAAAATGGAAACTTCTTTTATCCATTTTTAATAATTTCACCGAACTATGATTCGCATTCATTTCCTCACTTCTATGGCCAACAGACCTAATTGATGGTTAATTAGGACTTGTCAATGGACGAGTTCTCATCACGCTGTAATAGGTGTTGAAAACAGTACCCAAGTCAGCAAAATTAGCTCATAGAAATGTATTCTGATTGCTGAAGAATAAAATTTAAAAACAAATTCTCCACTTTACAATGTATCCTATCTGAACCTTGTACAAAGTAAATTTTCAGTATTTCCACTAAACACTCAAAGGGTTAAAGAAGGTGGTCCATTACACTCTGACCAATCAGACACACATTTCCTCCTCGAGCATTCTCTCCAGCTTTACACAGCTTCAGCTATCATCCCTTTGTTTCACAAACACTAAAACAGAATTTTCTATGCAGTCCTGACTATAGCAAGATCAAGGTGCCCTACCATTTAACCCTTTAACGCTCATTTCACAACTAATCCTCCAAAAACTGTAATTTTCCTTAATTATTTTCTTTCACTTCTCATATTGAGATCTAATCTTCTCTATTCCACTGCAAAAATATAAGTCACATCATTATAAATTAATGAAAAACTTATTTCTACACGCCTAAGAAATAGAAATAAAAAAATGACATTAATCATGCTTGACACATCAAGTTGAGCAGAACGTGAGCGTTGATGGCTCCCTATATTTCTTCCACCGACTATACGTATCTCGCGTCGCCTCATCGCTCCCGTGTTTTCAGTAGGAAAATTAATCGATCATTTTCCGTGTTGCTCGTCCGCCTCCATATGCAAGCTCCGTGACATTGGAAAACGCTTTTAAAGCGGTTATTCTCTTGACGAGTCCTTTCCAATGAGTGGGTTTCGAGTATTCCAGTCGGCCTCTCCGCTGCGTTGTTTGTCCATGATGCGTCGTCTCGTTGATTCGTATGCTCGATACGTTTAATGCGTTCGTTGATCGACACAACGCGACGATTCTGTGCTTTTATAGAATTAACAAGAGCAATCTCTTCGTCAAATTGTTTTTTTTTTTTTTTTTCGTACAAATTGCAATCGAATGGTAAGTGTATCTCGCTATCGAGCACAGTTCACTGACCGTGGATACGTGTATTAGCATTTCGTATAGATTACGAGAGAAAAATAGATTAAATGTAATTTAATTCGAAATAATTATCGCTCTTTTTTCTTCTTCTTTCAACGATATAACAACGCAATAAATTTCTTTTATTGTCTGGAATTATACTTGGAGCTGTGGAATCACTTCCTTTTTCGATTATGTCGAGAATTTTCATCGTCTGTCTAGGTGTGAAGGCTTGGTGTCATCTGATAAAATATTTTTCGCACAGCGATGATATTTTGCGAATTTTTTGCGTTACGAAAATTCAGTGATGGGTGTTTGTGATTATTAATTACTCTGTTGCTAATTTTTCTAGGCGAAAGAAAGTTTTAGGCAACTTCTGCACTTTAAGGAAAATGTATATATCTTTTTATTAGGATTAATAACAGAATATTTCGCTGAAAGAAGGTATAATCCATATAACGGATTATTTCGAGATATACGTTGTTTTCGTTCATAATAGTCAATTGTGGGAGAGGAATCTCATCGACGTGTAGCGATTATGTTGGCTGAAATGCACGACGTGAATTTACGTAACGTGGAAGTCATAAGCAGCTTCCACGAGGTTCTCACGTTTAATATATGGGATACATTTAATAGGGTATTTCACCAAGAATAATTGAATAAATTGCCAGGAACAGTTGCAATGTTGTATGTTAAATTACTAGGTTGTATCCGTGTGCAGTTCTCATTGAGAATTTCGACTAAAGTGTATAGAATCGTGTGGAAAAATGATTTTAATTAAATACACTTTTTTTTTTGAAGAAATACAAACTAAAATAAGAAATTTCATATGCACCAACCCAATATACTTATATTTAAATGAAAAGAACAAATATACAAGGAGATCAATTTTTGCGCCTTTACTGATTAGAGATTTTTATTTTATAGCCGCCGGAGAACGAATTGCAGAAAGTCGGCGAACGTGTGCCTAGCGAGCACGAACTCAGAGTGCAGAGGTCTCTGCAGCGACTGAACGTTCCGGATTGGTACAAGAATTCTCCCGCGGCTCGCGATGGTTTCCGGTTAAAAAGGCACTCCGATGCGTCGCAACACGGAGGATGGCGTGCTCTGGGCTCGAAAACCACTTCCCTCTCGTCCCTTTCGTCGTCTTCCAATAGACAGCCGACTACAGGTACATACACCCTTTCATTCCCAGATTATCATATACGTTTATTTCCATTCTTGATAATTCCAATTATCTTCAATTGTTGTCACTTCCCTTGAAACGAAGTTGAGATAGTACTTCGTCGAAGTGAACTTATCGAGCTATCGTTCCAGTCAATGTCTTTGTATTTATATTTATTGATTTCACATTAGTTACACCAGAGTAAATTTGAAACAGTTATATCACGTGAAAGTAGAAAATTTCATTTCAATCATTTTTGTTTTCGTATTTTTCTGATCTCCTTTGGAGGGAGACGAGAATGCAGAAGAAAATGCTTATCAAATTCTTCTAATCGCTATCAGACAATTAGAAAGATACCGTATGAGCTCGTGTTCGAAATGATTTGCGGTAGAACGGCGCAGTGTTATGTAAATCATTCGTTTTGAACTCTCAGTGAAAAGATAAGCAACATCCGAAGCGAGAAGCGTGTGTCGGCCAATTTCATTTATGCATCTTTCTCTCCGCTTCTATTCTCATCTCTCCCTGTCTCTCCCTCCTCTCTCTGTCTCTCCCTCCTATCTCTTTGTCTCTCCCTGTCTCTCCCTCCTATCTCTCTGTCTCTCCCTGTCTCTCCCTCCCATCTCTCTGTCTCTCCCTCTCCTCTCTCTGTCTTTATTTCTCTGAGTGACACAGTCTCGCGGATATTCTCTGGCTACGTCGAGTAACGGCTAATAGGAAGCGGCTAATAAATTTAGCAGGGCAAGTTAACTCGATTAATTCGGTCCTGTCGAGTAGTCGTCTGGTAGCGGCAGCCGAGCTTTAACCCACCACGTTGTTGGCTCACAGTAACAGAAGGGTCACCCATCCGGGTAGGTTGGAAAACGTTCAAGAACGCTTCTAACGAGAGAACACGATTTGTTAAGGGAGGGCTCTAATTACCGGATTTAAAGAGCTACCGCACACGCCGGTAACGCGGGTTTCGTCGACGGAAGGAAGTATGAAAAGGGCAGAGTTCGTCGAGACACACCCCCTTTTTAAATGTCGTCTGATCACAGTTCGCGATGCCCTGCAACGTTTTCATTTCAACAGATCTGATTTTTTTCAAATGCTAAATTTATATTTTCCAGCTGTTTTTTCAACTTTAAACTAACGTAAAAAAAAATTACTCACTCGTCATGGATTATTCATCGTGTGTCAGATAATCATATCCAAATAATTGTATTACGAATTTTTTTTACTATTCAGTACACGTGTATTATAGCAAATTCTTTCTGTTTGACTATTGTGTATGAAAAATGTATAATAGAACAAAATTTAGTATATGGTATCGTAACTCCCCAATTTGATCTGTTGAAAAATGGACGTTTCATTTGCACCAATCTAATATAAAAGGATAGCAATTTTTCTGTTCGATATTCTTTAATAACAAATGATCTTTAATTTTGCAAATCTTGTTTGTTTGTTTAGGTGCCCTTTTAAGTCCGAGTCCCACACCACCTGTATTCTCGAGATGGAGTACCAGTCTGCTGAACAGTGCCGGAAGTTCACCAGCGAGTTCAGCGAGGTCGTCCTTCAATCATCGGCAGCCATACTTGGGCTGGCGTTCTCAAGAACGACTAACAAACCCGCGAACACCGGCAGAACGTCTTGCTCAGGGTATTCTTCCCCAGTTGCAAGCAGCAAACAAGGTTTGTGTTGAGCAATTCTTCCATTATTCAACGCGATCCACTCTGTTGCTGTCCTTGAATTTTTTCAGTGTATGTAAATATCTTCTCATTTTTTTCTTTGAATATTCTAATTTCGTGAAAAATTTAGAAACACTTTTAACATTACGCTTAAAATCACTATTATGCTTAACTTTAACTTCTCTGAAATTAGAACAAATGTTTTGTTAGTGATGTTAAATAATTCAATTAATTTTCAAAGTGAAAGAAGTATTGCGCGTTCAATGCGCCATCATTTTTATTGGGTATTTAATCTATGCTTCCATCGTTTTGTATGTTTTCTATAGATATTTTTAAGGTTTCTAATGTGAAGCTCTTTTCAGATGTCACTGCGCAAGAGTTTATACTACACTTTGTAGAAAATTCCTTAACAGAATTGCCGTTAATTCGTTATTTCAACGCGGTAGAAAATCATTTCTAACATCTACCTTATTATCTTTGTCATTTTTGTCACTCGTAACAATCGCCCAGTTGGACTATTTCACTGGTTCAAACGTTAATCCGAAAATCCGCGGAACGAAATTTCACCTTAAACCGTGACTGACCCCTGCTCCGCCCACACTCTGTTCTCGCTTTCCTCTTTGTTCAATTTATTTTTAATTTGCGCAGACAGCGCGCAAATGCAGCGACGTTTCTATAATTAGAAATTCTGGCAGTAATCCCTCGTCTTGGTGTCCCGTGGCCTTTGCAACCCGAGACAAATTGACTGTTACCCGAATCGCCCTCCTCTAAGGTTAAACCGTTCCGTACGTTTCGTCCCACTTTGCAAACTTTAATTACCTCCTCGTTGCCGAAAAATGATTCTCCCGTGAAAGTGTCTTTTCTCGTGGACGTTAACATTTATCGCAGTTAAATGAGCTTTCAATGTTCAAAATTCATCTTTTTCTTTTTTTTTTTTTTGTAGGGATAGTTAAATGTGAAAAATGTTGTTCCTTGTTTCAATATTTCAAGATTAAATTACGGTCGTTATTATGAAATATACGAAAGAGCAGGTGTAATTATTGAATAATATATTGTAATAATAAAGTGTATTTTGCTCAATTTTTTGTTTAATTTTAATTGTTAATTTTTGACGGGTGGAATGGATAAATTAAATTTCATTTGAATGTCAGCGTATTAACGATTAATATTATCGAGAAGTAATTGTTACTGTAATGTCCTAGACTGAAAGAAGTTTATTTAATAAAGCTTCATTTTCGAATTATCATACCGATAATCAGTACGTTTGGAGAGAGTGATTAATTTATTCGCGTGAAGTCATGAATAATCCTATTGAATTGTCAGAATCAGTGAAGCATATCACGGGCGTTCCAAATGAACCCTTCTGTTTTTTTCTTCGAGTCTATTCAGTTATTATCTCCTTTACTTAATCACTGTCTTTCTCAGAGCTGTTCAACAATTTCCATTAGTATTATATATCTGTTTAACGATCTTTATTAACTTTTCAAATAGGAGTATTTAAAATCCCTTTAAATCGGCCGAAATCACACGACAAATATTTCATATTTCAATATGACAAAATTAATTTGAGTTCAAACTTCTCAAATTCATCAACCCCGTGATTCGTCGTCAACCGAAGCTTATTTGAAATTCCTTCAAATCGGCCAAAAAGCGCAGAGGCAAAATTAATTTAAGCATTAAAAAAAAAAAAGGAATTCAAGCTTCTCAATCACAGTATCAACCAAAGTTTCCAAAAAATCGTCTAACCGTAACCAAATTGAACGCAAGATAGAAGAAAACAAAGTACCCCACGCCTAATGTAAGAATAAAACAGACGTTTCTTTCCACAGCAGCAACAGCAGCAGCAACAACAGCAACAACAGCAGACAACGAATCAGCAGCTAGAGGTAAGGAACTCGATAAAGGAGGTGACTTCGGCCATTGTGCACTACGTGCAAAGCGGTCAAGAGGTTGGTGGAGGTGGCAGGCTGTCGCCTCGACCTCGACCTGAAGACTGGGACGACAGGGGCGGAGCAAGGTCAACCAGCCCCAGAGGTGAGCACTAAACCACCCCTGCCAAAAAAAAAACCATCCCACCACCACCACCACCACTACACCATCACTACTTTTACTCTCTACGACGAAGGTAATTTTTGAGTTTTCCTTCTCTTGATGTGAATACTCTTCTTTGTCTCTGCATCTACTCTGCGACCTAGACGCGCCTCTCTTCTACAAGTCTATCTCTGGGTTTTTTTTTTTTGTTCATGTTACTGTTACTGTTGTTATGATTATTATTATCTTTACACGTCTCGTCTAACTTCCAACGGAATGTTGTAAAATAATAATGTTGTCTCTCAAAAAATTCGTTCTTACCACTTACTACTCTCGACGTGTCTCTTTGTTGTTGTCACACTAGTTCAAAGCACTACCAGCAGCTCTCGCTGTCTCTCCTCTCTTTTGTCTGTTCTCTATGGTCGTGTCTTGTGTTTTACTAACGAAAACAAAACTGGCTTTCTCGAGAAGCGCTATCGTTTCAAAAACGAAACCGCCATCGACGGTATAAAACTACAACGAATCCTCTTCGTGCGCGCACACACTTTCGTGCTGGCTCGTTCGTTCTGCGTACTCCTCGATTTCTTATCTCCAGGATCTGTTCAAGGTGCGTTGCAAACGGTTCCTTCGTAAAACACGCGAGCTAATCACGTTTCTTTCATCCTGTACAAATCAAAGGTCCTTCTTCCTTTGCACATTAAGGTTGATCTCTCTTCGACTAGCCTGTCTCGCAAACTTTTTCGAACAGTCACGTGTGTGAACGATCGAAATCGAACGAAAAGAATTAGTATCACGATGGAGTGTGTAGATTCTGTTCAATGGAGATATTCAAAGATATACCCAAAACGACAATTTCTTCGAAACATACGTATATCGATGACCAATCTACGAGAGAAAGAGAGAGAGAGAGAGAGGATCGCGTAAGATCGATTTCGCAAATATATCTTCCATTTATGGCTTCGCGAGAGAAAGAAGGCGCTAGCTACACGTGGGGCCAGACGTCGTGACGTAAAGAATTGTGTTTGGCGGAAGACCTGCCGCACGTTCTGAACGTCGTCGACGACGAATCGACGAAGGCAAGACTCTGCTACGTAAATTCCCGAAATGCATTCGCCGCGACAGCCTTGACACTAAATCGTATTTCGAACGCGTGGATCCACGAGGAGGCGAAGATCGGACCGAGGCGAGGGTGAGAAAGATACGACGACGGCAGAATTTCGAGGGCGAGAATGGAACACATCTCTTCGATCTTCTTCTTCTCCTTCTCGACACCTCTATCTGACCTCCGCGTGCCTCTTCCTTCGGTCTACCTTCTCATCTTTAATCGTGACAGTCTTAGCCGAAAGTATGCCTGCACACGCACGCATACACACATATGCAAACGAGCCACGGTTGCTATTTCGATAGCCTTGTAGCGGCGTGGCCGTCGGTACCACCGAAATAGATCACCCTGAAGTTTAAATCACACTCGTCTGTCTACGTACGGATTTTCGGTGCGAACGAACTTGCCCCGGCGGCGGCGGCACTCTCTGGCCGACCTTAGAGAACAAAATTAAAAGAACGATCGAAAACAGGGAACGGATTCGCGGACGATAATATACACGTGGAGTAAGGAAATTCGTACGATTTTATATTATCATCCCATCGTATAATAAAGGCGCATCAGGAGATGTGAATGTAGTCACCAAGTTGTACCCGCGTTACACTCCGAAAAACGTGTGAAACGCTTCCTGTCTCGCTACGATGTTACAATACTAACTACTACTACTACTACTACTGCTGCTATTACTATTACTACTACTATTACTCAGGTACGATTTGTCAATAACGTGTGTATGTATGCCGATCCACTGAGCTTTGTTTGCGTTGTGATTAATACTTCCGTATCAGAGCTTCACTAATACGACCTAGTCTGAGAATTTGTGTCGTTTTTTAAAAGATCGATCGTCTACTGACAACCGCCTAACTTCGAATCTTCTTAGTTCGATGATTGGTCCGAGAATGAAAAGCGTGGTAAACCGAGAGTGATATGCGAAAATAGAAGAACCTGCTAGAGAAATGTCGAGATCTTCTGTTACAAAGGCGCAGGCAGGCAAGCAAGCAGAGCAAACAAGCAAGCAAGCAACATCGTTACGCTCTTGCAATAAGCTACGCTCTTTTTCTTCTCCAAGTTACCACGTTTTGCTCGAACAGTAAAAAATACATATGCGTAAATTGTTCGTACGAAGGAATCGCGCGGATCGATCGATCGTAAAAGAAGCCACCTAAAAAAATATTTTTAAAAAGAACACACACTGCGAGCCGATGGCTTCTTCGTGACGCATCTAATGAAATGAAACTTCTCCTCGAAGGGAGCGTGAAGCTGTGTTGGATGGAGAGCTCGTTCGTTGGTACGAGACCCGTGGATTCACCGGAGACGCCGATTAGTTTGGCCACGGAAACCGACTGCTGTCCCGGATGCAACGCCCCGGCCACCGAGTCTTGCAGTTGCGTCGAATCCGCCACTTCCGGTCTCTTCTTGGATTTGACACCGACACTCGACGATGGCCAGCAGCATCATCAGCAACAACAGCAACTAGGCGGAGGCGGAAGTAGCCTCTGCCCGTCACCATCCTCGTCACTCAATTATCACCAACACCATCATCATCATCATCGTCAGCTTCACCATCAACAGCAACCACAGCAGCAGCAACGCCATCACCGCGGTGAGTTGCTGCTCGCCTAGCGGAAAGCCGAACACAAAACGAGATCAGACAAGAAAAAAAGAAAAAAAGAAAAATATAATAATACACGTACAGCCGCGAAATTTCGTCAACAGAGAAAACACACATTCTCGGTCGCGTTTCCATCACACAAGACGATATCTCGACGTATTATCCCCCCAATTCAATCCATTCACCTAAGTTGACGAAGACGATTCACGTCGCGCTACGGAACACATTTTCATCGTTCCCTTCTACGGATATCGCGTCTTGATTGGTAATTACTCGGGATATTGATTCGTTTGCTTCCGTGTTTCTTTCGTTCCCTGTCTCAACAGAGGAACTTCACGGAATTACGTGTTACAGTGGTTGATAGGCTTCGACGACTGCTTTGATGACTGTGAGAGGAGTGCTTTTGTAAGTTTGAAGAGATTAGAGAAAAATTTTGGTAGCTTGTTATGCAGGATATTATTGCGTACGGGTAAACTTCGGAAGAAATTATCGATGAAAAAGAAAGCACGATATTTACGTAGTTGTATGTAGCAAAGTATCGATGTTAATGGCAAGTTTCTTTGTGACAAAAGTGCTAAAGATAAAGAGTTTAATATACGAAGTATTACATTATCGTGAGAAATTTGATGAAATAGTTCAGTAATCTTTGGCAAAGTAGCAATTCAAGGAATTCAAGTTTCAAAGTCTTTCTTTTTTTCCCTTTCCTTGAAAATTTACGGTAAAACGAAAAATTGTTCTTCTTGCCAATTGCAAACTCTTCCGCGTCTATCGCAAAATATATCCTATATGCGTGAATAAAGAAAACTTATCACAGGATGCTTCGATAATGCTGTTTAGAAAACGATCAGAGAAGATTCGCGTGTCTCGAAACTTTCTTCCTTCTTCGATGTATTTTCCAAGCCACGAAACGTATCAAACGTGTTACGCATTACGTGATAAAATTCGCTTCAACACGATTTCCGGTACTCTTCCTGTACGACGATTTCTCTCCTCGCGTTTCAAAGCGTTTTAACGAATTCTGCGCGATTCTTCGCGGAAGTTGGCAACTAGCAGCGAAGAATCTTCTCGGAAGAATTTCCTCTGACGTGGTTCTGAGACTGGTCTGCTCTCAGGCTACGTCGATTACGTGCGTAATACACGTTTTTGGCTCGGGCTGCTCTCCAAACGACATCTTCTACTTGTTTTCGTCACGAACGTGGTCCTGTTCTCTCCGCATCTGTCCCACGTGACGGTACAACCGTATCTCTCCTTCACGTTTCGTAGAGAGTTTGTTGGGAAAACCAAAGTCGAAACATCGTAACGATTTCGATCACGAGACGAATTATTTTTGCATCTTGTTCGAGAACGAATGGTACCGAAGTTCGTTTCACAAGTGCGAGAAACCTCTCTTGTTTAGGACGAAACTTCGCGTTAATCTCTTGATAAGAAGAAACTGTTTCACGCACACACACACATACACACACACACATACACACGGACGCTTGTCGCTTTCATGTATATATATATATATAATTTTTATCTCAGCAAACCACAGAAGGAAAAAAGAAAAAAAAAACAATGTTACGAAAGACGCGAAAATTTTTATATTTTTACGAGCCATGCGAAGCTGTTGCGTAAATTGTAAGGTTGAAAACATTTCGAAGATCGCACACTTTATTATTATTGTTCTTGTAACGCAGCTTTTTTTGCACAATTTTTATACCGCTCTCTTTACAGTACGTTATCTTTATCATTGTCACTTCTCTATCTTTGCGTAGCGTGTACAACGAATGAAAGTTTCTCACGAGAAGAAGAGAACGTTTCGTAATTGTTTTTTTGTCGAATTACTCTTCGTGCATAGACATTGTTATGCAGATTATTATTGTTGGAATTGTTGAACTATTGATTAGAAGAAACGATAGAGAAATTGTTGAAGACGATTGTTGCATGAAGTTTGAAAAGAAGTAGATATTTTTTGACAAATTTTCACGTTGCTGTATATTTCTAGTGTTATTATTAGCTGTTGATGTTTGTAATCACGTAAGTGCAATTATTCTCGTATCTATAGTGCGGCAAATGATGCGTTTGAAATCGACGCTCAAAAAGTTCGATAAATTATCGCTGTCAAGCGCTGAGTCTATTCTCGATCGTGCACTATATTCGCAGAAAAAAATTGCCGTATATATGTCTTGACAACTGTGAACTTTAACGTAAGACAAGCAACGAAATAACTGTTAACCCCGTCATGGTATATAGAGCTAAAAAAAAAAGAAGAAGAAAGAACGATTTGAATTTTATTTGAAATGCAAAACAACGTAACTGTTTCAAGAATTGCATTCAGAAAGGGGTAACACATTTCGCGCGAAATTATGCCAGACTTTTTCTTTTCTTTTCTTTTCTTGTTATTCTCACGAGAGACAATGTTGAGAAAGCCGCTTCATTTGGATTTAACCTTGTCAAATGTAACAAATGAGCAGCCTATAATTTTGTATCGCTTTGTACGGCAAAATAATGAAATTATCCAACGATGGGAAAATTCACTCGCAGTGCTTTCATTGTCAGTGTAGGTAGAAAAGCGGTGAAACAAGGAACAATCTCTAAATGTTATACACACACACACACACACATACACATACGTGCGCGACTTCATGAACCGATTCTCTGATGTGTACATTAGCTTTCTATTTAAAAAAAAAAAGAGCCGTGTGTCGAGAGATTAGTCTTGTACGCCCACGTCGATTACCGCTATCTCTTCTTTTTTCGTTTATCGTTTTCGTCAGCTTGCTGTATTCGTCAACGCCCAAACTAAGTTATTATACTGTTCGAGAATCTAGAATCTAGATTCTTGATCAATCTCCCCTCACACACACACACACACATATACACACAATTTCCTGATGAAATTCATGTACAAAACATACACACACTATCACATCGGGTTAAACTGAAAGGAAATTCGCACATTCTTTCTCTACACGCTACTATCTCCTATGAAATTCTCTAATGAGCGTCGACGTTGAATCCTGAAGCTTGAAAAGGAATTGTTCTTTTGGAAATTCGGTAAAAATTGTCAGTGTCAAGACTGATTTTTAGTCAAGAAGCTTGAAATCGCTTCGTGGATTCTCGTCGACTGCACACAAATGTTCTTTCTGTCATTCCACAAGAAGATGGTCTCCTGACTTCTTGTCGACGGACCTCTTTCTAAATGTTTTCAACAAGCCTCGTTCGTTTATACGCCACGAATACATTTTCTCTTCCTTTTTTTTTTTGTCTTATTTATTTATCGCCTGAGAACTGTTTTATAGTAAACTTTGTTACTTTGTTACGACCGCCCCCCTCGTCGTTGGAAGACCCGCGAAGAAGAAGAATACCTGTTTGCTCCACAAGTTTATCTCTCATTTGCTCTCTTCTTTCGATTTTTTTCCTTTCTTCCCTTTTCTCTCTTCTTTTTTTTTCTCTCTCTCGCGGTTTTTCTTTTGCTCTTCTCACACACACACACACGAACCCCCCCCAACCAATGTATTTACCCCGCCTGAAACGTAACTTTTTGTGCGAAACGTCCCGTATCTCGAGATATATTCAGTAGAGCCTCCTTTATTTACTTCTACCAATAGTATATAGCTGTTATTTTTTTGCGTTTCATGTATGTTTACTATCTGTAAAATTGTTCACGTATACATGATATCTATAGCTAGAGAGCTCGGTATATGTCGTATATATACGTGTTACGTGTACATACATACATATATACATACACGTAAATGTATCGTATATATACGTATGTACACGTGCATACGTGTATATACGAGAGAGACAGCAGTTTAGGTATGATTCGTATTTTGTATACACCGTTCATCATTATTTACAAACGCGCTGATATT